TAGGTGCATGACCTCAAATGTTTTAATGTGCAACATTTTGTTTCCAGATAAGGTTAATGTCAAGTAAAGCCAGTTCACAACTTTAGATGTTTTTTTTTCGCATTTTAGTGAGCGTCAAGCATACATAGTTAGTTTCCTTCACCAACTGTACATTTGAAGCAGTGCTTTTTAAAAAAGAAAATAATTGGTGAATCCGAACAAGTGCTAAATAGAAAAGCCAAACAAGGTAAAACGATACAGACCATTGTAATGTTTGATTTATCAGCAGGAGCATATAATTACACCAGAAAGAAGCTATGACGCTGTACTGTCCCTTTTGTCTTTGGGATATAGTAGTTTTCTGTGTACTCTGCTGAAGAGGTGTGAGACATGATGCTGTGCTGTGCTGGAGGTGAAGCACATAAAACCACAGTAATGAATGTGAGCAGGATGTGACTCTTCACAGGAGATGAGAGGTGGCAGCGGATGGAGAGGATAAGTGCCATGAGGTGAAAATGTCTATATGGGAAATTGGTTTTGAGGCCACAGGGGTTAAAAAAAAGAAGGTTTTAATAACAGTGGTGTGTACGGTTGAGAGTGATCGTCTCTGTCTGTGTGTGTGCATGAAATGGAAGCTCTCAAACTGACCTAGGATCCAATTTCCTAAGACATACTGTACACATGGTAAACAATTATAGGCCATTCCATAAAAAGTAATCTAGTTTTAGTTTACACTGTGCACTCCAATTAAGGAGGCTTTTATAGCGGATAATGGCAAGAAGAGGAAATGCAATGTGGACCTACTTAGCACCTGTAAATAAACTGCTATAAGACAAAATGGAATTAGTAAAAGAGCTTTATAATCACTGTAATTAGTTTTGTTTCAGAGGGCATTACATGTTAAGTAGTATGTATAATTATGTGGTGGAGCAGCTGTAAAAAGTGTTTTTGGTTAGATACCTGTATTAATGTCTGTACTTAACACAAGCTTAAAAGGTTTTCACGTTTTGTTCTACAACATAAACTATGTCAGTTATACCCCACTTGTAAATGTCAATAGAACTTATTTTCTAAAAATCTAAAAGGTAAAAACATCATTGCTTTTAGTCAAGGGTTCCCTTGCAATGCTAAATTGTTGGGGGCCTACAACAACACATGTTTGCTGCACCCCTTTATACCTACTCTTTACATGTTCAAACCTTATCAAATGACAACGTAACAGTAAGAACACACACAGGTTCGTCTTAAGACACCATGAACACAATCTCACTATATGTTATGCTTCAATGATGAGTGGGTGAGCAACAGACGCAGTCGGCACCTGTTTGAGCTGACTGAGCTGCGTATGAGTCCTCCAATTACTGCTTTGTGTTAAAAAAGCAGTAATTGGTTCGCAAGCCAAGCAGCATAGGAATACAGCACTGGAGGACACCTTCCAATAAAAATAAGACAAGTTGATGCAACATGAAAAGTATCCTCCATTTTGTTGATATTTAAAAGACAGGCGGATAAAAAAGCTCTTCATGTCACTGAATAATATGATAAGTGATGGGAGGAAGATGAACAGATTAGACGGAGGCTGTTGAGGGACCAGTATTCATACATTCACCTTTTCTATTTGATCTGATCTATGCTTTTAGTATAAATGGGTCACAGTTGCAGGTACCTGCTGTTATTTATTTGACTGAAAGCATGAATCATCAAGTGGTTTCGGGCGGTACAATTACGGCCAAATCATAATCACGATTACTTTGACCAATGTCATATTAAACTTCTTCAGCTGAAATGCTGCTTTCCGTTTTAAAATACTCTTCCACTCTGGACTGCAGTCGCAAGTAAGCTGAGCTGAGCTAAGAAATCAAATGTCAATATGGCAGGAGATCATGTTTATTGCATTTTTTGAACCAAAATTGAGAGTTTGGTTAGTTTTTTGATTCAATGTGCTGTGACAGGTGTAGGATATTTTTCTATAATGCAGGAGGTAACTGTGCATCCAATGACTTTCCTGACAACCGTCTGTCCGACTCAACACTTGGAAGGTGTTTTTGCTGAGGAACCATCCAAGTGCAATGTCATGTGTGAAGTTGTTTGCATGAGCAGTTCATGAGAAATCTGCAATACTGAAGGCAAAGCAAATGGTCTATGGCGAAAAGGCACATTTTACATTTAAAAAAAGTTTCCTAGAAATGGAAAGGAAAAAAGGAGTGAAACAACTCGTTGTACAGGTATATCTCGACAGTACATTTATACTCACTTCAATCATGTACCCCCCTCTATGGGAACATGGCTCATTTTTGTTGAAATGTCTAGTTTTCTTCTCACTATCTCAACTGCGGTTTCCTACATCCTGCTGCGATAACAAGGGATCCCCACAGAGATTGCTGAAATTGAACAAAATCTCTACGAAAATAATAACCCAAGAAACACCAACGCTGCTAAATGTGTCCACTTTGATGAGTGACATGTGTGATGACCCCTGCCTCACTATCTCTGGTGGTGGGTATGCGTGTGTGTGGCCCTTTAATGACTCTCCCTCTGTGTGTGCTCACGGGAATTGAGGACACCTGGCGGCTGGAGCTAGCCGGATAAAGGACTGGACCGGATCTCGCTCTCTCTCTCTCTGGCAGGAGGACGCAACGTGAAGAGCAGTCACGACCAGTGGCGTTTTCTCCCGGAGGCCAAGGGAAGCCAGGCTTCCCCTGTTTTTTCGGATTGTAGTTATAATTTAAATAAATAAATAAAAACACTTTGTTTTGTTTCGATCATTCTCCTTTGCTGTGTGTTGCTGCCGGCCCGTCTCTCCCCCATTCTCATTGAGTATTTTACAAAGAGTGAAACAGCGCCCCTCTAGATGTTATGGTGAAACAGTAGATTGCACTCACTGTTGTGAGAGGAGGCCAGCCGAATCTGGCTTCCTTTGGTGAAAAAAAATGGAGGGATTGACCAATCAGATGAGGCCCACGTGATGCCCCTGCCAACCTGTGATTGGTCAGGGCCATGCCAAGGGAAGCTAGCCGCCTCTTGCTTCCCTTCAGAGGCGGCTGGCGGCTGGCGATTTGATTGGACACTGCCATCCAATCAAATCACATCAACATCAGTTTTAATACTGTAACTGTCATCACCGCCGTTAGAAATTATCAAGCAAATGAAGCATTATGGAGGGAGGAGATTTGGTGTACTTAATCAAACATAACTTTACTAAACTTCCGCTACAGCAGCAACTAAAAATTAAATCAGATGACAGGTCAATGCCCGCACTCGAGCTGTGTGTACACAGAGGAAAAAGGGAGGGAAACGGACGTTCAATGAGGACAATTATGTCCGCACGGAGTGGCTAACTGGAAGCGCTAAACTTCAGCGTCTATTTTGCTGGCCATGTCTTCTTTTTGACAAGGATTCGTGCTCCCTGAACAATCCTTGGGCAACTTCAGGATTCATCGACCTTTCCAACCTGTCATGGGCAATTGAGAGGCACGGTAAATCCAAAAATCACATAGATTGTGTGATTGTCTGCATACATTAATAAGTAAAATGCTTAAATTAATAAGGAGAGAGTTTCATCTGGAGAGCGGACCTGTCGGTTAGATAACAGGCGTGTGCAAGTCCTGCATCTGTGTGATACAAATGTGTGTCAAATGATACCGGGCGCTGTAATCACCCATCTGGTTACGTTATTGACCGCCCCCCGACCCAAAAAATGGGCTTCCCCTACATTTTTCCCCACGCCACGCTACTGGTCACGACCAGCTGACCTTTTGTTTCGCCTGTTTGTGTACTTCAGCAGCAGCCAAATAAACTCTTTTTTTTCCATTCACGCTCTCATTTCTGTCGCGCGTTTGTTGTGGCTGAGAGCCAAGCCATGACAGCTGGGGGCTCGTCCATTCCGGTAAGGTAAGCTGGTGTTGGGATTTAGTTCATTATTTGTGCGGAGTTTCCCCTGGTAGGTTATAGCGACGGTTCCCTTGGGATCGTTGGGCAGGGTGTTTAATGTTGTGGTGAAAGTGGCTGAAGCCTCGGCTTGGGGGCATGGCCGTGGTCGCAGTATTGTTGCTAGCGTGCTAGTCGCTTTGCTGGGCCAGCGGTCTTCAGTGCATAAGTACCCGCCGCAAGTAACTACATGAAGACTAGGGAGGAGATTAGTTAGTGGGTGCCGCAGTTAGTGGGGGAACTCCAATCATTTATTTTTGCTTTTCGTCTCAGTGTAAGCTCCGGTGTTGTGTGATAGTATGGCGGATGTAGACGCATTTATCAGGGCTCCATCTCAGGAAGCCCTTGACAATTTCTCAATGGAGCAGCTACTCGTAATTGCTGAACATTTCTCGGTTGAAATCGTCGGCGATAAGAGGCTAAAAAGCACTATAAAAGACTCTATTGTGACAGCATTAGGTGAAACGGGAGTGTTTCCGGCAGAGAAAATAGGTGTGTTGTTAAAACCACTGTTGCAGGCTAGTTCACTGTCCTTTGAGCAGCAGAAGGAGATGTTATTGTTGCAGCTGAATCATGACAAAATGAGGCATGAGATGGAGGTTGAAAAGGAAATTGCAGTGGAGCGGATGCGGCAGGAGACTGAGAGAGCCAAACTGGATATGGAAGGACAACGTCTTTCTATGGTCAGATATGGTGCGGCGTTGGGTGAGCGGCATGGTGAACAGGTGCCCAGGTCCCATCATCGGTTCGATGCTAACAACTTGCGCTTGTTACCGCAATTTAACTTTTTTTTGCTTTTTGAACGGGTAGCTAGGGATTGGCTGGATGCAGACTGTGCCCTGATGCTTCAGTGTGTGCTCACAGGAAGAGCACAGTCTGCATATTCCGCGTTATGTCTGGAGGATAGCTCTAGCTATGTTAAAATAAAATTGGCGGTGCTTAGAGCATATGAACTCGTTCCTGAGGCTTATCGACAGCGTTTTAGGTCCTTGGAGAAAAAACAGGGTCAAACATATGTGGAAATGGCGAGGGATTTGTCGGTTCATTTTAAAAGTTGGTTAGCTGCTCTGGACATCACTTCTTTGACAATTTGGGTGAACTCATGATTTTGGAACAGTTCAAAAACATTCTTCCTGACAACATTGCTACTTATATAATAGAACACAGGGTTACTTCGGTGTCCGAAGCTGCGGTGGCAGCGGATGAGTTTGTGTTACTTCATAAGGGCAGGTTCGGAGGGCGCGCTGGAGCTCTACCCGTTTTTGAAGGAAGTAGAAGGGCTGTTGATGTTGGTTCATTGGGGATGGATCCAAAGAAAGTGGCTTGGGAAAAATCTGAGGATACTTGTAACTATTGTCGTGAGAAAGGCCATTGGAAACCAGAATGTCCGGCGCTTAGAGCAAAATCCAAGGGAGGAAGATTTGTGGGTAAACCAGTTGCATTAGCTGTTCCTGTGAAAAGCTGCTGTGTTAACGAGGTGCTTACGGACCACTTATGGGGATCAGAGGTTTTAGCGTCCTATGATCCTTTTATAAGAGAGGGCTTGGTGTCATTGGTAGGTAGCAATGTCAGAGTTCAATTAACATTTTGAGGGATACCGGTGCATTTGACTCCTTTATCGTTGACTCTGTTCTGCCTTTGTCTGAGGAAAGTGACACTGGTGACACGGTTCGGAGTCGGGGGATGGGATTAACGGTTTTCCCTGTTCCTGTTCATAAAATGTATCTTGACTGTGACCTTGTTAAAGGGGAGGTAGCTATTGGTGTACGCCCAGCTTTTCCAATCAAGGGGATACATTTCATTCTGGGTAACGGTTTGGCAGGTGGTAGAGTCTGGGCTGATGTTCCCTCTGTGTTGTTAGTCACTGGTGGTCTGATGGAGTCAGGATCTGAGAAGTGCTCTACAGTGATGCCAGACGTCACGGCCTCGTGTGTGATCACACGTGCTAGGGCGAAAAGGGATCATGACTTGCTACCAGATGGAAAGTCAACTGACACAGTGGAGGTTCCATCTTTGTCTGACTTTTCGGTATTACTTACACACCATGAGGTGGGAGAGGAGCAACGTCAGGATTCTTCGTTGAAAGACCTTTTTGACTGTGTTAAGCCAGTTGCACAGGGGGAAAACACTTCAAGTGGATACATGTTGCATAATGACTTGTTGTTTAGAAGATGGGTTCCTGTGGCTGTTGATGGTGGGGGAACTGAGGTTTTCCAGCTGGTGGTGCCAACTAAGTTTTGTCCTCTGGTCCTGAAAGTCGCACATGATGAGTGTGGACACTTTGGGGTTCGGAAAACATATTTGAACATCCTGAGACACTACTTTTGGCCACGTCTAAAGAGAGATGTGTCGCAGTATATTAGAACATGTCATGAGTGTCAGCTAACAGGGAAACCAAACCAGAAGATCAAACCAGCACCACTACAGCCGATACAAGTGGTAAGTGAACCGTTTACACATCTCATTGTGGATTGTGTGGGCCCTTTACCGTGTTCAAAGTCTGGTTGCAAATATCTGCTGACTGTGATGTGTCAAACCACTAGGTATCCAGCGGCTTATCCTTTGAGGTCGATTACAACTAAGGCTGTGGTTAAGGCTTTGTCACAGTTTATTTCAATATTTGGTATTCCTAAGGTCGTCCAGAGTGATCAAGGCTCCAATTTTTCATCTCACATGTTTGCTCAGGTGTTGAAGCTTTTGAAGATTAAGAAGAACCAGTCAACAGCTTACCACGCTCAAAGCCAGTGTGCCTTGGAAAGGTTTCACCAGACATTGAAATCCTTGTTGCGTGCTTACTGTACTGAGCTAGATGGAGACTGGGAGGAAGGTCTTCCTTGGTTGATGTTGGCTGCAAGGGAGGCGGTACATGAAGGTACGGGGTTTAGCCCTAATGAGTTGGTTTTCGGACATGCTGTACGGGGTCCCTTGGCAGTGCTGAAAGAGGGTTGTGTTGACACTGAGCCACCACGGAGCTTGGTGGATTATGTGAATGGCTTCAGACGTCGTTTGGGTGTTGCTTTGAGTATGGCACGGGAAAAGCTGTCAGTGTCTCAAAGTAACATGAAGAAGTTCTATGACCGTTGTTCGGCACGACAGGAGTTTAATCCAGGTGACCAGGTTCTATCACTTATGCCTATTGTTGGTTCCCCATTCCAGGCGAAGTATTCAGGTCCGTACACTATCATTGAGAAAACTTCTGACCTAAATTATGTTGTGGCAACACCAGAACGAAGGAAGACCAAACGCCTCTGTCATGTAAATCTTCTGAAACCCTACCACAAGCGGGAGGTTAACACAGACACAGAGGTGGAGAAGGATAAAGTGCAGCCGGCTGTGGTGGTGACACATGGTTTGACGCATGAGGGAGATATAGTGCCCGAACCTGATGATAGTTTGCTCTGTGGTCGTTTGAGAAATTCGGAATCGCTAGATAATTTAGACGGGTTGTTGTCTCATTTGACGGCATCAAGACGTGAGGAATTATCAGCATTGGTACACAAATATCTGTGTCTGTTTGGAGACACTCCTTCGCAAACTGACTGGGCTGAGCATGATATTGATGTTGGGGACGCTCAGCCGATTAAGCAACATTTTTATCGCATGCCACCAGTTAAGCGCAGTCGGTTGGATGCAGAGATTAATTACATGGTGGAGAATAAAATTGCTGTCCCATCAGCATCTAGTTGGGCGTCTCCATGTATTTTGGTGCCAAAGCAGGATAGGACACCTAGATTCTGTACTGATCTAAGAAAAGTGAATGCGGTGACAAAATCAGACTCTTTTCCTTTGCCACGGATGGATGACTGTATAGATCAGGTGGGGTCTGCAAAGTATATTAGCAAATTTAATTTGCTTAAAGGGTATTGGCAGGTCCCCTTGTCTAAGCGGGCACAGGAAATAGCAGCATTTATCACACCATCTGGACTTTATTCATATAAGGTAATGCCGTTTGGGTTAAAAAATGCTCCTGCTACATTCCAACGTTTGATGAATCGCGTGGTGTCGGGTTTAGAGGGCTGTACGGTGTATCTAGACGATTTGGTAATTTGCAGTGATACTTGGACGGCTCATGTTCAGCGCATCGAGAGGTTGTTTGAACGGTTGACAGAGGCACATCTGACTATTAATTTGGCCAAATGTGCCTTTGCAAAGGCCACAGTGACATACCTTGGTCATGTGGTGGGTCAGGGTTGTGTGGCTCCAGTTCTGGCCAAGGTCATGGCAATATCTGAATACCCACAGCCCACAACCAAAAAGGAACTCCAGAGATTTTTGGGTATGGTGGGTTACTACAGGAGGTTCTGTGAACATTTTTCCACTACAGTGTTTCCTCTGACGGAACTTCTTAGGGCTAAGGTAAAATATACTTGGTCGGTCGACTGTCAGAGAGCGTTTGATAGTGTTAAGTCTCTATTGTGCTCCTCTCAGGCGTTAGCGGCTCCATGTTTTGATCGTCCTTTTAGTCTCCAAGTAGATGCAAGCCAGGTGGGAGTCGGTGCGGTTCTGCTCCAGGTTGACAAGGGGGGGGTGGAGAGACCCGTCAGTTTCTTTTCAAAGAAACTTAACGGTTACCAAAGGAATTATTCGGTGATTGAGAAGGAAGCGTTAGCACTCATTTGGGCGTTGCAGCATTTCACTGTATATGTGGGAGCAGGAGGACCAATTTTGGTTTACACAGATCACAATCCCCTGACCTTTTTGCATTCAATGAAGTGTCCCAACCAAAGGCTGACAAGGTGGTCTTTGTTTCTTCAGGCTTACAACCTTGATGTTAGGCACTTTAGGGGATCCGACAATGTTATTGCTGACGCGCTGTCACGTGCTCCATGGCACTAAGTAGTTGTTAGTTTGACCTTGATGTGTATATATATATGGACTGTCATACTGTGATAAATCTTTCTCGCTCTGCCCATGTTTTTTAAAGTGCTTCTCAGATACTGGTGTTGCTAAAGGTGTGGCTGGGTGCTGAAGGCGAGGATTGCTGTGTGAAGGTGGTGTATTTCATTGGGGTTCTGGGGGAGTGCCATATGTGTGGTTTTGTTTTCCATGACTTTTTCCTTGGTTTGGGATGGGGTTGGGTGTGTGGTGCCGGTGGCCCTGGGGACACCGACTTTAAGGGGGGGGGGGGGGGGGGTGACGACCCCTGCCTCACTATCTCTGGTGGTGGGTATGCGTGTGTGTGGCCCTTTAATGACTCTCCCTCTGTGTGTGTGCTCACGGGAATTGAGGACACCTGGCGGCTGGAGCTAGCCGGATAAAGGACTGGACCGGATCTCGCTCTCTCTCTCTGGCAGGAGGACGCAACGTGAAGAGCAGTCACGACCAGCTGACCTTTTGTTTCGCCTGTTTGTGTACTTCAGCAGCAGCCAAATAAACTCTTTTTTTTCTATTCACGCTCTCGTTTCTGTCGCGCGTTTGTTGTGGCTGAGAGCCAAGCCATGATACATGGATAAGAAAACCTGAGAGCATTTTTCTTTCTTGTGAAAAGTGGAGCTCACCTCATCGTAGCAGATTCTGAAGTCGGCCTTCTTGCCCCGCAGGTCCCACTGTACGATCATCCCGCTCTCAAACCCTATAAGCAGCTGGGGAGGGTTCACAAGGAATGGGAAATAAAGAATATGAAAGGCATTTTTAATTATGTTTTTAAATATCAGATCATAGCACAGCCTGCACTCACGGTGCCAATTTCATTGATATCTTGCCCTCTTTGCTGTAGTGTAGTGGAGCAGTTTGCCTGTGGCACCCGAAAGAACACGTGTCCTCCTTTTCCTTCTCCCTTTTTTAAGTCTTTACTACTCACTACAGTCTTATTTATAAAAAGTTGCAGAGCTAGCCTGCGTGTGTGTTTTGTGATTGGTTGGGATGGGAGGTATGATTCCTAATGTACTATACGCACAAAGACTATTTTCCACCTGCATGGGTCTGCATTCAGCCAATGATTTGCAGGAGATGTCAAAGGAGATTTAGAGTTAAGACTAACAAAGTACGTCAATTAACAAAACAACTTCCTGCTATATTGAAGCCAGAATCTTTTCTTTACTACTGTCATGTAAACAAGCAGCGATCACTGGCCTGTTGTCTTTGTTAGCATTTATCAATTAGCCAATGCACCTTCAAGGTTTCAATCTCAGTTTCATTTCATTTTATATTTAAACACATATAGACATTTATTGAATGTATACAGAACCTATTCAGACAAGTACATAGAATGTTCTAACTACTTTCATCCTTCATAACATCAACACACGCATATGATCTCCTCCACATGCCTTACCCCCACGAGTGACACACTTATGTTTTATAATACACTGTAGATCAAAACAGCCATCTATAGACAGGCAGCTCACACACGCACTAACATTGAACAAATAATTGTACACGCATTCACTCACTCTCACACACACACACACACACCCCCCCCAAACCATTTAGAATGGAGAGTAAAGTTGATACAATCTGATCACAGATCACACGAGATGGGGAGTGATGTAACCTTTAAAGAGAGTGGAGGAAACCGCTCTCCTGATCTCGGAAACACTGACATCTCAAATTGTAGGACACTAAAGCCAAACGCAAGTGAGGTTGGAAAAAAGGTCCACCTCATAAATTCTGCAAGCATAAAGCTTTACATTAGTAACACTAACAGTCATGTTAACACCAGGATGTCCTGTCAACAAATGCCTCCGTATACAAGCATATATATATATATGCTTGTATGCGGAGGCATTTGTTATATATAGTATATCCCTTAAAGGTATGTGGTATGTGGATTCAGATCTACTTCCAAATGTCATGTATTCTTATTCAAACACCTGCAAAACATTTGTATATCTACTTATTGGTCGTAATTAGGAAGCTGGTACTGTAGGCTATTTAGTTATCGAAACAAAATGAAGGACAAAATGCAAAAAGGCTTTGAAAAATATAACATATTTGTCCCCTCTCTCTGCGAGATGAAGTCCAAACTATTCATTTGTGACTTCATTTTTTAAATTCCACAAGCAGCACTTCTGTCTTTTCAGGCAGAAAGGTATGGCATTGTGCGACAGAGGCTGCACACCTGTTTTTATGTTTCACACAGAGGCAGCTAAATCCATTGGGAAAATCGATACGCTCCTCAATGACATCTCTTTTACAGCTCCTTCGTACCTAGCACTTTTCAAACCAATCGGATTCCAGGAGCAGCTTGACACTGAAAAACTCTACTCAAAGGATATTACCTGCAAGTCTCTCACGTCGTCAGTGTCTATAATACAGCAACACTAGGAGAAGTACACTGTATAGATGACGGTTTCCTTTCTGTTAGCCCGAAAGAAAGCCAGGCGGAGAGAGTAAAAGCTACTAATTACAAAGAAAGAATAGAAGCTAGAAAGAATACACCGGAAAGGCAGAGGGGAAGTATAAAGGACACTTAAGTGACGGAAAATTAATAGGCAGATTTAACTAAAGGCAGGGAAGACAGGAAAAAAGGGAAGCCTGTATAGTTTTTGCTACACAGACAGTGTGCGTCAGGAGAATCAGCAAGTGGTGCGTGTTCTTTATCTTACCTTGCCTTCGTCTTTTGGGCAGTCACTCAAATGAACCACGGGTCCTGGATGAGTTTTAGTTGATCTGTGACCAAAAAAGAAAGAAAGTGAGAGTTGAAAAAGACAGCAGCAGTAATACAGCGACACAATACATACATTAAAGAGTACATGTAAGTGAGTTTTACTTAAGTCACAGTTCGCCGTTTCTGCTATTGTATCTTTGTTCTCAGCGCAACATTATGGAATTGTGGAAACAAATATTTCCTTTGCTGACAATCCTAACCCTATAACGGGTAGGGATTTTAAACATGATGGTATCAATCAATCAATCAATCAATCAATCAATCAATGTTTATTTATATAGCCCAATATCACAAATGTTACATTTGTCTCAGTGGTCTTCACAGTGTGTACAGAATATCAGTATGACAATACGACACCCTCTGTCCTTTGACCCTCACATCGTACAAGGAAAAACCTCCGGAGAAAACCCACAGTTTTAAAGGGAAAAATGGGAGAAACCTCAGGGAGAGCAACAGAGGAGGGATCCCTCTCCCAGGACGGACAGACGTGCAATAGATGCCGTGTGTAAATTGAAAAGATAATACATTTGCAACATAGGTAGTCCAAATGTTTGGAAATGCATGTGTGTATAATAGGAAGATGAATCCACGAGGATATCCATCCAGGACCTATGATCCAGGACCACAGCCACGACTCAAGATCCAGGGCTCAGGATCATCCATGACTCCGGATCCCGGCGTATATAGACACCAAAAAGAAAGACATTTGGGGAAGCTGGGTTAATCGGAACATGAGAGTACACAGGTATAGACAGAGAGAAGGAAGAAGTAAGATGTCCCCCGACAAACTAAGCCTATATCAGCAAAACTAGGGGGCTGAATCTAATCAGCCCTAACTATAAGCTTTATCAAAAAGGAAGGTCTTAAGCGCACTCTTAAAACGGATAGGGTGTCTGCCGCCCGAACACAAACTGGAAGCTGATTCCACAAATGTGGAGCTTGATAAGAAAAGGCTCTGGCTCCCATTGTACTTTTAGAGACTCTAGGAACAACCAACAACCCTGCATTCTTGGAACGCAATGCCCTAGTAGGACAGTAGGGTATAATGAGTTCTTTAAGGTAAGATGGCGCCTGCCCATTAAGGGCTTTGTAGGCGAGAAGAAGAATTTTAAATTATATCCTGTGTTCTATAGGGAGCCAGTGTAAGGCAGCCAGAAGAGGAGTAATGTGGTCCCTTTTCCTAACTCTGGTTAGTACATGAGCTGCAGCATTTTGAATCAGCTGAAGCGACTTGACTGACTTCTTGGTACACCCTGATAATAAGGAGTTACAATAATCCAGCCTTGAAGTAACAAATGCATGGACTAGTTTCTCTGCATCGTTTTGAGGCAAGATATGCCTGATTTTTGCAATGTTACGTAGATGGAAGTAGGCGGTCCTTGCAATTGATTTTATGTGGGCGTTAAAGGATAAATCCTGGCAAGTATCAAAATACTTGTATGTATGTATGGAAATGATGAGCATTTCAAGTTAAAAACACTATCTAAAGCATTGGGAACTATTTGATAATTATTTCTTCCCCCCCACTGCTCTGCGGGCAGCTGATCAGTGGGAAGAGAGACAGATTGAAATTATGAGGTTCTGTTATTGTTGGAACAGTGGAGAGACAAGACAGTTTTGGTGAGTTTTATTTGGTTCTTGTAGACTTTGAATGTGTGTGTTTGACGATAAACCAGTGCTCAAACACTTCTCCCAGCTGAATCTACAGGTGGCGGGCTCCCCCCCCCACACACACACCACACACACACACACACACACACACACACACACACACACACACACACACACACACACACACACACACATACCATGTATACATCACTTCAGGGGACATTACATTGACTTACATGCATTTCCTGGAGACTTATCCTAACCTTAACCATAACCAACACATGCCTAACCCTAATCCTTAACCTTACCCTTACCCTAAACCTAACCAAGTCTTCACCCTAAAATTAATGATTCCCCTCATGGGGACCTCCATTTTGTCCCCATAAGGGAGGCGAGTCCCCACACGTGACTATGTAAACAGATGTAGGTCCCCACAAGTATAGTAATGATAGACTACACACACACACACACACACGCGTACACCTGAACCCACTGAAAACAACCAAACTGAATGTTGCCACACTCATTTTCCCGAGTCTTTGACAGTAAAAGCTTTCTAAAATGTAATATTGTAACACTAAAAAAATATTTACTCATGGATTTGTCATCAATCACATAACTACATATAAAGTACACTATAATGTTGCATTGTTTGAAAAATGGAGACCATGGAGGGATCAGGAAGAGCTGCACAACGAGCTCCACCTCTTTGTATTCTTAAAACCCAGCAAGATGGAAGCCTTGCTGTTTTGAATTATGCAAAGTCAAACGTAAACATTACCAACATGTCGCAGTCACAACCTGTTCTAACTTTTACTGCAACATT